GGGCTTCTATTGTCTGTATGTATGGATAATAGCAAACACTGAAATACATTTTTTGCATGCAGGAATGAATTTTGTTCACTCAAATTCAGCTTTTCTTCGTGTAGCCGGATGGGCTACTCGCCCTTCTTTTTCTTTCTTTCTCGCTCGCTCTACCACCCTCGCTCTCTTTCCGCTGCACTCGCTCCTTGTATTGTGTGATTGGGTTAATTAGGAACCCACCTGCATATTGATTACAGGGTGGTGTTTACCTGTATAAAGGGAAGCCGTTTTTTTTTGTTGGATCATTCCTTCTTCTGGTGCGATACAGCAGTAAATGCTGGCCTATTGGTTAATTTACCGATACGATCGGATTGTGTGACTGCTACAGGTAGGCCTCCTTTCGACCTCTGATTTCTCTTAAAAGCCGGTAACTAGTAGTCATAATTCTGCGGCCCGCTACAGCGCCGCTGTTTCTCTTTTCTTTACTCCAGCTGTGGTGGAGAGACGCGTGAGTTGCGTCCACCGTACAGTACAGCGCCTCCAGTCTTGGGGTAAGCCGCTTATATTATAGCTGCTAGTATTTGTAAATTAGAGAAGATTAACGTTATCTTTGCCTTTTTTTGTTTGTAGGGTTTGATTGCTGCCGCACCCTCTCAGGGACCAACTGCCTGATTTTAAGCAAAGAGTCGAGACGTCTGCCTAGCTGCTGTCTTGTCTTGCCCTGTTTCATCTTGTGTTCCAATCTGTTGGCCGTCCAGTTTTGTTCCTGCTGCTGGCCTCGCCTCGCCCCTGGGGGCTTTGGGTCTCACGCTAAGCCCCTTTTTTGGACTATTGTTTTACTCCAGCTTTCGCGGCTGGTCGGGGCGATCTTCAGCTGTATATTGGGCTGGTGTTACAAAAACTGGTACCGCCTCTCCCAGATGTGGAGAGCTGCGCGAGACTGAGTAGGGCTACAGACAATCGGAACCAGCACCAGCTGTGGGCTGGCTCGCAGGGTATGAGTTTTTCCAATCTGTGCTCTGTGGTGTGTATGTGGGTGTGTTTTATTGCAGGTCTCTGTTTTTCTTTTAATTTCTTTTTAGTTTATATAGAGAGCCTTTTTATGCCCCATGTTTTTATCCTTTTTAATGTGTATATCTTGTGCTTTTATTTCAGTGAACTGAGGATCTACCAGCGGCCGTGGGACCTTAGGTGGTGGGTCGTTTTCCACACTTTTGTTGTACAGCACCAGGTGAATAGACTATAGTGGG